AAAAATTGTATGAAAAAAAGATTTCAATCAAAAAAATCCAATCAAACCAAAAAACCTATATTTAACACTTTTAATTATAAATAAATAATTCATTTTTTGTATTCTTAAAATATGAAATGCCCAAAATAAACATTCAAATAACTTTTGAATTATAATAAGTTTTTTATTGTAAAAGTTATTTCATAAAAACACGTGTATATTAAAAATAAAACACTGTTGTTTTTTTACATTATTGACTATGTTTTTTAATAATTTAAATTTCAAATGATAATTAATTATTGTATATAATAATTATCACAACAACCATTCTCAAATCTTAGCAAATGAAAAACACTTTTAAATTTTGTAAAACCTTTTGCTTTGTTTCCATAGAACACAAAAATCTTTACAAAACCTTTAAAACAAACATCGTCTATTTTTGTCTGTAAATATTTCTTTAAAAGGGGTGCTTTCACTCTGAAAATCAAAATGTTCTTATTATTGTTGTTGTTCACATTTTCTCAAGCCGACTTTGACTTGACCAAAACTGATTTTGAACTCTTCAAAGAGTTTGAAGTAAAATATAACAAAAAGTATTCAACACCATCTCAACGTCTTGCTCGTCTCTCGATATTTAAGTCCAGTCTTGAAGATGTTCGCAGACTGAATTCAAAGCGAAAATCACCATCAGATGCAACTTTTGGAATCAACTATTTCTCTGATTTAACTCCATTAGAAGTAGGTTTAAACCCGCAGAAGTTTATTAAAACCCAAAGAAAACATTCGACTTCCAAAAGTGATGATCTTCCCATTCTTCCAACAGGGGACGTCATTCCAGACTATTTGTCATATTGTGGACCTTATGTCCAAAACAACACTGACCACCCAAAAATAGACTTTTGTGGCACTCCACTTGACCAAATGGGGTGCGGGTGTTGTTATGCAGCTGCTATAGCCAATCATGGCCAAATTTTATATGCAAACATGACTTATTACAAAAACAATAAAGACGAGGCCAAAATTGAAAGGTTACTCTTCACTCCACAAAGATTTATAGATACTAAATATGTTCTTTCGAGTGGGTTCTCTAATAAGAGATGCTGTGGTGGAAACAGTGGAATTGCTATTGAAGGCCAACCAACTTATTCGTTACAAAAAGATTACGCTTTTTCTGATGGAACTGAAGAATCTTACAATATCCAACCGCCTTGCACTCCACGTGGAGACCAAAATGCATCGGTTGAGATTTATTTGAGGAACATAGAATACCAAATTTTCTCAGTCAATCAAGCTGGTACTCATGAACAACAAGTGTTGGCAATGAAGAAAATAATACACCATTATGGCTCTGTTTTGGTGGCAATTATGGCTAATGCAACTGGTATAATGTCTTATAAAAATGGTATTTTCACATTCCCACAAGATGTATGTCAAAATTTAAAAATAGATCATCAAGTGATATTAGTTGGGTATGGAAAAGACGCTGCAACTGGAAAGGACTATTTCATAGCACGAAACACTTGGGGCTCTTGGTGGGGTGAAAATGGCGGATTTGCCAGAATTTCAACTGAAAATTTCTGTGGGATGGCACAAGACGACACTAGAGGGTATGACTCCCAAAATTACATTTTCTATTCTGGAAACTGTAAAATTGATCCAAACTGCAAGACATGTAATGCAACAGACTTATTGTGTACCGAGTGTAAAGCTGGCACTGATAAAGATAAAAGAGGTGTTTGTGTAGCACCGGGACAATATGATTTTCAACCAGTTAATCCACCAATCACGTGCATTTCTGGGTGTTCTTCTTGTACTGATACAACCACTTGTAATGTATGCAACACTGGAAAAGTCCTTCAAAAGGACAAGAAAGCATGTTTGGACAAGTGCCCAAGTGGACAATATGCTGATAGCAACAAACTGTGTAATTTTTGTGGCGTTTCTACGTGTGAAACGTGTGCAATTTCACCTGCTAATAAATGTGATACTTGCCCAACTAATAAATATTTGGCTGTTGATAAAACAAGCTGCTTGGCAAGTTGTCCAAATGGGCAATACCCAAATGCTAATAAACAATGCACCGCCTGCACCACAGCCAATTGTGCAACTTGTGATGCCAGTAATGTGTGTACAGCATGTAAAACCAATTTCACTAAAACATCGACAAATCAATGCACTGCCACTCCTTGTGGTGATGGCAAATTTGGCACTCTTCCCAATTGTGGCAACTGCCTCGCGAACTGTAAGACGTGCACTAATGCAACAATTTGCACGGTGTGTACTGGAACCAATAAATTAAGTGAAGATAAAAAGACGTGTTATGCGACTTGTCCAAAGGGCACCTATACTTCTGGAACTAATTGTAAAAAGTGTACAACAACAAATTGTGTTGCTTGCAACAACTCAAATGTGTGTACCGAATGTGCTGCAAATTATCAGAAAACAACATCAAATCAATGCGAAGTAAAGCCAACAACGTGCCCTTCAGGCCAATACGGAACCGCTCCGAATTGCCAAAACTGTCTCACAAATTGCGATAAATGTGTTGATGGAACAACATGTGACTTATGTACTGGGATTAACAAATTAAGTGAAGACAAAACCAAGTGTTACTCAACATGTCCTAATGGAACTTATGTCTCAGGCAATTACTGCAAAAAGTGCTCAACTGCCAATTGTGCCATTTGTAATGCAAATAACGTATGCACTCAGTGTTTGACTAATTTCGACAAAACAGCAAGCAACCAATGTGTTGCACAACCATGTGGTGATGGGGAATATGGAACAAAACCAAATTGCAACAAATGCATTTCTAATTGCCAAACATGTACTGATAACATTTACTGTTCTTTATGTGCTGGCGAAGCTAAACTTCAAGAAGACAAAAAGAAGTGTTACACAACGTGTCCTTCTGGCACTTACGCCACGGCGACTTATTGCAAGAAATGCACTACTGCAAATTGTTTGGAGTGCAATAACAATAACGAGTGCAGTAAATGTATTGACAACTTTGAGTTGAGTGGAACACCTCCAATATGCACTTCTAAAAGTGGAGCGTGTGGAGATGGGTATTATGGAGAAGCTGGAAAATGTCAGAAATGCAGTGTGAGTGGATGCAAGAGATGTAGTGATGGTGAAACGTGTGATATGTGCAATGGAATTATGAATTTGGAATTTAACAAGAAAAAGTGTTCGAATGATTGCCCAACTGGATATTTGGCAGATAACCAAAAGTGCTTGAAATGTGACGATAAGTGCAATAAATGTCAAGCGTTGGACGTGTGTGATGAGTGTAATGAAAACTTCAAATTTAAAGTAGAAGGAAAATGTTATAATGAATGTCCTGATCACTACTTTGAAGAAAATGATATGTGCAACAAATGCAAAAACAATTACCTAACTCCTTGCAATACAACTGAATGTGAAAAATGCACCGCACCACAAAACAGAAATGGTGTTTACAAGATATTTATTTTAATCGCTATGGTTGTACTGCTTTTCCTTTAATTTCATTTAAACTTTATTTTGTTTTACATTGATAAGAAATGTTGTTTATTATTATATATTACAATAATATATGACAATGTGAACACTCTGTTTAATATGTAAAATTGCATTGTGCAAGACTTTTTGGATATTTTTAAATTTAATTAGAATATGATATAATTTATTTGTATTTATTTAAAAACCATTTTAATTTTTTCAGTTATTTATTTGTTATTGAAAATTACAAATAAAGTTTCAAACAAAAAATGTATTATTTCAACATAATATCATTTATTTTTTTTGTTGTTATGCTTTTTCAACAAAAAAGTGACACAAACAGTAATCACATTAATAAGTGTCGAAACAATTGCAATAACTTCGAAAACAACAAAAAATATATAGTGGACAACAAAAGTGTAGTCGTTGTACTCACTTGAATAACAAAAAGTGTTTGGCATCATTTTATTACAGTAAAATATCAATGGAAACAATACACAGTTGACAATTGAAAGTATAAGTCCAACAAGTGTTTTTTCAAAAGTCAATTTGTTCAACACATTTAACACTGCAAAAACTATATGAATCATTGGATACACTCCAAATAATATAAATATAAACGAGAAAATAAAATTGTATTTTTGGAAACAATTCATATTTATTTTGAACGATTCAAATAACAACTTTACAAATTGACTTATAAACATCAAAAACACAATCTTAATGTTAATTTCTTATATACTCAAAACATTTTACATCACAGGTATTATTATCATTATCATTATCATTATCATTATCATTATCATTATCATTATCATTATCATTATCATTATCATTATCATTATCATTATCATTATCATTATCATTATCATTATCATTATCATTATCATTATCATTATCATTATCATTATCATTATCATTATTATTATTATTATTATTATTATTATTATTATTATTATTATTATTGTGTATTACTAATTTCAACATTTACCTTCGAATTTATCAATATAAATATATTTAAATCGTATTTGACAATTTGAAATTTTCTATGTTTTTTTGTTATTAAAAAACAAACACTTTCAACAACCCCAATTACAACAAATAAAACACACGAAACAATGTTACCTATATTGACCATGAAACAATAAATGAAATAAGCACTGAGTTATTACTTTTTATTTGGTAAGGGATAAAAAGTGACGGATATATTATTCTAAAACATCATTACAAATTATTTTGTAATTTAACCCATTTTAATAACAATAAATTTAAATATTAAATTGAATTGGTGAAAGAATAATAATATTTTTTGAATTTTTATAAATATAAAAATTAAATATCATACGTCAAACAATTCTTCAATAATAAAAAATAGTTGTTTGGTTGGATATTATAACACTTTATTTGATATATGGTTATTGTTTATTTGTTTTTATATAAATGATTGGAAAAAATATATCTAACCATAACCAATGTGATGATTAAGCAATAACACTTATTTATTGATATAAAAATATAATCAATGAAATATTGAAAATTGTTTTTTAAATTGAATGATTTTAACAAAATTATTATTAATATCATTATTTCGTTTATAATTTTATACAACTTGTAATATTAAAGCAAATGAAATATACAGTTATAATTGGCTATTAATCTAAACCCGTTAAAAAATTAATTAATTTGTTTTGGATTTAAGAATTATCAAAAAAGTTTAACAATAATATAGTATGTATATAAATAGGTTTTTAATTCGTACATTACAAAAAATGGTTAGGTGTACAACAATAAATAATCACAAATAGACACGTTTTGTTGTTTTTGTTGTTTATTTAATAAAAAAAATAATAATATAATTAATTATTTAATTTAATAACCAAAAAATACTTGCTTTTTGAACAAGACTTTTCGCCACAAACTGTATTCAAGTTTAATGTCGTGTCTGATTAAAATAATTACCTAAAGTTTTATTGTCTCATCTTAAAGTGTTAGTAGGTACATTTTAATCATTGTTTTTTCATTCTAAATAAGTACATTCTTTTATTAACTTATAATGAAAAAATAATAAACCATATATTAGTTATTGTATATTCAAATACATTTTAAAGCACTAATATTTAATATTGTAATTATGAGTTGAGATCAAAAAAATATTTATGTACATAGATGATAAAAAATGTTTTATTATCGTTGGGTTTTATTAATTATTAAACAAACAAAAGAATAAGATATACAGTCTTATATGTATTTATTTTCATTGTTAATCAGCTTGTTAACATTTCATATGACAATAGAAATTATACTAAAGTGACTTCCCCAGGTCTGCAACTTAGTTTAAGGGTGTGCAAGTTAAGGTATAGTTCATTTATAATTTTTTTATTAAAAAAACAGAATCATTAATTTTTTGAAATTTTGAAAAAAAAAGATTATTTTTAGTTTAATTATTAATTATAATTTCGAAGTTATTACTAAATTATACTTTAACTTGCACACCTTGTGACGTTGCAATTTTTAACTTTCACACTTCGAATACAATAAATTAAGCGAAAATTTCGGGAAAGGGACCCAATGGAAATTATCGAAGGACCAGTTCTGGACAACAGTGCACATCGATTTGAAACAATGAACTGCACCTATTAAACAGACTATTTGTTATTGTTTGCTATAAAATGGCACAGAGAAAAACATAATGTTTATTACACCTTTTCTTGTCACTTTGAATTACGCTAACACAAGAGATATCGACATTTATTCACGTTCTTGAAACAAAATTGTTTTTACATTAAACACATAGACAAACCATAACCCAATTTTTATATTTTAACCTTGCGAAGTGAAAACTGGATAATTTATATCCTTGATTTTTTTACTTAAAATAAGTCATTTTTTTTATTTTTGTATTTGAACTAAAAAGATCTTAAATTAAGAACTGCGTGTCACAAACCAATTTAAATAATGAAAAATTGATAAATTCCGAAACGCTCTAATGAAAATTCATGTGTATGTCTCGTAACAGCAAGTGTTGACTATTTTGAACACATGGAAAATAGGAAACATTGGTCTGTAAAGACCAGTAGTTTGCGCGAAAACTAATCGATTTCGTGTTTTGAATTTATTTTTAATTATTCTAAAAATAAATATGATCTAGATAAATCTTATCCAGATTTCACCTTCCCACAAAAAAAGTTGATTCAGTTGACTTGCTAAGGTTAATTTGCTTTTTGTAGTTTATTAATTCAAGCACCAAAGGGTTGTGTGTTTTTTGAAACAATTTGGAAATGAATAACATTTTTTTTAATAAAATGTTTATCAACTGAAATTTAGTCTTGCACGCCCTTTTCCTGTAAAAAAGACTAAAAATTTTAACGTGCACACCTTGGGGAAGTCACTTTATATTCAAAATCTAATTTATAAAATTTACAAAAGGCATAAATTGATATTGTGTATTTGTATAAAATAAAGTTTTGGGAAAAAACTTATTATCATTAATTTTTCGTTTTGAACAAGTTCAAATGTAATCATAACAAATCCTTCTTCGTGTAAAACCAAAAAATGATATTAGAAGGTTAATTTGCATAACAAGTTGTGATAGTTTGCTTACAATCGTTATACACAAACTTAGTTACCAAATGTATAATATTTTGGTGTTTTAACCATATAAATGACGAGTTGAAAGGGTTTTAAATGACTTATAATAAGTTTAGTACTGATATGTATTATTTTTATTGAAAAAAATAATTTAAAATTAATTTTTATTTATTGTTTTGTGTTATTATCTAAACTGTTTTTCAAAAGTCGGTACTGGGGTGTCCCGATTTTTTGCATTTATTTTGTTTATTATTTTTGGGAATCGTTTTTTGTAATAAATATCGCTTATTTTTTCCAAGTAAAAAAGAGAAAAACAGTCTTCAAAAAATATTTTTTACTTGAAAAATTTTTAAGCATTAAAAAATTCCATATAAAATTTGAAATAACGGGATTTTTGTTTTTGAAAAACACGTGAATGATCCCAAAAGTGCATTTTAGTACAAAAGCAAAGAAACTTAATGTCAATCTTTTTCATTATCAAACATTTTATTAATTAATGAAATATTCACAAAACAAAAGCTTAGTTCGAAGATTAGTATGCTTAGTAGTGTTGTCACAAAAACAATAAAAATAACAAAATGATTTGATAATTTATCTTCGTTGTTTTTTAAAAAGTCGACATTCTTTTTGAGCATTTCAGTGAGAACATCTTTTTTAAAATATCCATAACAGAACAATATTGTTATTTTGTATTATTTTTCTTGTGTTGCCCTTTGACAATTTTGACTTATGCCTGTCAAAATTATTAAACATTTGTTGTAATTTTTGGTGTTTTTGGAACTCTTTATTTCATTATTTTTTATTCAGAGAAGATAACCACATGTTTGTTTTTAATTGAAAATATTTTTTAACGAAAGTAATTATCAGTTAAAACTCGACACAAATAACACCATCCCAATTCACTTAAACGTTAATTGTTGTGCTTTTAGGCCAACAATGCTGTGTATATGTTGCGAAGTATCGAGTTGATATCAAATCAAATAACGGGATCGGGTTTTTTGGAAAAAGATGGCTAATATTCCAATATTTTCCCGAATTTGTACGAAAATAATTGAACGGGATTGGTATTTTTTTCAAAATAAAGTCGGTACTTTCGATTTTTTGTTTTTTATTTTTTTAGGAAAAAACAAAAATAAAAAACGGGACTTTAGGAAGTTCTAAAAATATGACAGTACCGACTTTTGAAAAACAGTTTATTATTATAACTCAATAATTATAAATTGTTTTATTGTAAATGTCCAATCTATTAATTTGTAAAGTAATGACACTTCAACAGATCGAAGCAACTGTTTTTGGAAGTCCAGAAATTGGGAAATCAAGTTTCATTCGAACTCTTACAAATGAAGTTTGTGGATATACATATCCCATTTATTCAAATGATGACTACCGGGTGCGGTTGTGTGTTGATAGAACTAATTTAATGATTAATTTTCATG